GCTAACCACTTATCAGATATAGAGAGGATGGCATGGGTCATTCATTTTGTTGGTGCAGTCCCAGCAGGCATGTCGTGGCTCTGGAGCCAACAATTGTGGCCATGGTTTCTAATCTGTTAGTCACAGCTGACGTTCACATTTCTGGTACCAATGGTTACAGCAACTATCAGAATTTGCCATTGTGGTTCCCACTTCCTCGGTTTCCTGACGTTAACAGTTCTCTTTGCAGATTGTTATTTGTTATATAACAATTATTTGTTCTGCAAATAATTACTGGAGACTCCATTCTCTGTAATAAATCCCCTTCTGCTTAAACAGGTAAATAATTCCATTTTAGTCCAATTGGCCATCATGGCTCATAAGCCTACCCCTTGGTGGGGCTGATTGGCAGCCCCACCAAGATTGCACACACAATGGAAGAGGGATAATTCCCCCAGAAGAAAATAAGATGCCCTTATCAAGAAAAAATTATAAAAGGGACGATTGGTTGTGGGTAGCAGAAAATAACAACCAACCATCCTGTAAATGAATACAAAGATAATTAATTAACATTATTTTCAGTGTGTCTTGTAGGACCATTACACAAAGCAAAGTTTTCTGAAGTCCTGAAATATTACAACACATTATGAAAGCTTAACTACCCCAAGGGAAGGAGTCAAGGAATGCTTCAGAAAGAGACATCTGATCTCAGTCTTAAGGCTCAAAGAAATATGAAGGTCTTTCTAGGTAGTGGGAAATTAATGACTTAGTTTGTACTCTGTGTCTGTATGTGTGTGTGTGTACACGTGCTCGTGCACATGTGTGTTGAGTATCTAAATAAAGATTGAAGAGTCAAAAAGAGAAGAAGTTTTAATATCTTTTAATTTACACAACAATAACATGTCTGGCTACTGTGAATCTGTTTGCTAAAAGAAAAACCAATGCTCAGAGAACTCAGCAATTCATATCTTTATGATTCAACTCTAAGCTTCTGATCCTATTGTTTAATCAATATACTATGCTGCATTCCCGAAAATCTTATTTACCTTCGTTCAGTAACTGTACACGGACATTTGTGTAAAAAACTTCCCAAATGTAAAAAATGGACTAACTATGCCGCAGTTATTTGTTTTTGACTGAAACAATGGGCATCTAAAATGCCAGAAGTCTCTGTGTAATTGAGGTATATGAAAGAGCATTTTCAATATGGTTTGAAAGTTCTTTCCAATAAATATGCTTTTCTTTCAATAAAAGATGCCCAGTTGATCCCAAAATTACAATAGCCTATTTGAGAATCTATGTAAAATATTATTATTATCTTTCATAACTTCTAAATGTTGTGTGTTGCTATTAATATATCTTTATTTCATGAAAAATAAATTTCTGTTTTGCCTGCATAAGAAGAATCACATACAAAAAAAATTTGGAAGAAAAGATAAAAATCAAATTGTGATTAAAATTTAAGGAATTTACAAGCTTGTATTAAGAATATAAAATTACTCATATATTTACATATTTAGAATTGATTAAATACTGCAATGCCTAAACTTACATGATAAATACAGTTATATGAATGCCTACAGCTATGGTATTTATGATTGCACATTGAAAGAGAAAAATGTTGAATGTTGAATAATTTTTAAAATACGATATTTCATACTTGAATAATTGAGCCTTATGGAATAAAAATACTTTTAATTAAAATCTTCTATAGGTAAGATTTTCTTTCTTGGACAATTGAGTGTCATCTAAAACTCCCCTTCTAATTTAAAAAATAAGTAAATATGACAATGCATTCATGGAAATGGAAAAGAAATAGAGTTTAGTTTATACTAATGACCAAGTGACAATAATATAGAGGTTTCACAAAATAAGAGGACTTCCAAACACCACAATTAAAGAAAAGTTTTACTATTTATGTGAGAAGTAGCACAGTCCAAGTTCTCATTAATAGAGGGTTAATGGAACTTGAATGGAGGAACAATAGTTTAAAACAAAGACAAATATAGTGACATAATATTGAAGTGAATTTGTGGGGGAAGAGTTAAAAACTAAATAACATTTTTTTAATCAAAGAAGAGATAGTAATAAACTATTCAAGTAAGAGATTTCTATTATAGGTAGACTAGGAAGAAAAATATGCTTTATTTTAAATAGGAGTGGGCATATTCAATACAGGAGCTCAGAGGGAGAACATATTTTATGTATTAAAGGCTTTCTGTTTAAATCACATTTTCAGTACTTTTGAATTGATATAGAACTATGTTTTTTAGCATACTATTCTCAGTCTCTACTTAATCCTATTTAAAATTATAATATCTAAAACATTCAGAAAGCTAGCATATAATATAACTTAAAGATGGTTATATTTGGGATAGCACAGTAGTGTGTGTCTATGTACCTACTCCATCAATTATGGAACATACTATAAGAAATAGCTAATGGCATTCAATGAACCCTCTAATAGTCTGCAGTTAATTTTCATGGTATTTAATAAAGGACAGAGATTAAATAGAAAGGTTATGAGTAAAATATTCAGTCTTTGGAAACCCACAGATTCCTTAAAATATTAATTATAGGTGAATCAATAATAGTTACTGAGTACTCAGTAAATATATGAGTTATTCAGAAACTGAGCTGCATGGAGACTTATTTTTGACTTTCGTATAATACACAAAATTTTCGATCTTGAATCAGTTTTAATATAGACACCACTAAAATGAAATAGTAGCATGGAACAATGTAAAAAGCATCATTACCATTTCATGATAGGGCATGTATTTTGGCATGTCAGAATTACGATTTTGCAGCCATTTAAGTTATTTTAGTGCATATATATTTTTCAATTTAAATTTCTACATTATGATTTCAAGATTTACTTCTCAATTGAATGAATGCTGTCTATGTAGAATGTTATTTTAAAATATTGCAATCAGAAAAAGCAAGCCTAAATTTGGAAAGTTTTAAAAGAATAATATACAAAGGCATATTTTTTATAATAAAACTTTTCCTTAAACTTATTATAAAATCAAACCTTCAATTTTCTTAATCACTGTATTTCCTCTGTGTTATATAGATAAAAATTCCATCCCTCTTTTGAGTCCCTTTTCCTGCAGCAAATAGAAGTAAGTTGTACCTCATAAAACACATCTTTTCCATTTTACTACAGCAATGCTACTTTTCAGTGTCGAAAACACACAATGCTTGAAAACCACAATTACAATCTTAAAAATACTATAAAAGTCAATTAAAGACCAATGAGTAGCATACTGAAATTTATAAGTAAGTACACAAATTGACTGGTAGCTTTGTGCCATTGTCTTATAGTATAAAACAACCCTATTTAAAGATACCAGTTCCATGAAATCATATTGCACAAAACAAATGAAATATCATTTAATATTTGAGGTAGGAGATCTATTTTTTGCTCCAGTTTCTATATATAAATATAAAATATATGCTACTTTATTTCTGTTTAGAAAAATAATAGAAGTCATTTGACCAGAAGATTCCATGAATCTAATAGAAAAGATCACAGGAATCGAAGAGGATTGTTTTTTGAATTTCTGCCATGCCATTGGCCTTAACTAATTGTAGAAAGGAATCAGAGCCATAGAATCATGTGGATGAAAAACTCTACAAGAAAAAGGGTCAACCTAGAGATAAAGAAGCTTCACAATATCTGATTTTCAATAAAATAGTCCTCTAAAGTACACAAACTTTTAGAAATTGAAATTGGGAACTGGATAAAATGTTTTTGCAAATTTAAAAGTGACATTGGTTTAAACTGGTCAAGATTCAAGTTACTATGCCTAAACACCTATTTTTAATAAAATATATGAAAATAAATTTTTCTATGAACATCTATTTTTGAACTCTAAGATTTAGTGTTTTATGAAGGCTAATATTTTCTATTATGATACATGTTAATGCATTGCATAGTTTTAAAGGCATATTTGCATGTATGTTTCCATCTCATTAACTACTTTAGAAATGATGATTATGGTAGATTTTCTACAGTGGACTTTGTCTAAAATATTGATTTTAAGTTACTTTCCGAAGGATTTTTATTACAGTGATAGTGCAGTATTCAAATCACATCAAGCTGTTGCTGTTTTCAAGAGAAATCTTATTGACAGAACTGCTTCAGAGAGGTTTCTGGTTTTCAAAATATAAATTAATTTTTGAGTTTTGTATTCCAAAAAAACAATATATGATTTAATGCCATTTTGAGTTCTAAATATAAGCTTCCTAAAGTCATCATATTAAATTTTCAAAGTGCTTAGGACTGAAGACTACTAAAGGGGAAAGCATTAAAAAAAAAAACAAAAAAACACAGATAAATGGAAGAATGTAACTGTGGCAATGCATACTATTCCCTGAAAAGTAGCTGATACACCACTGAGAATGAAATGAATTATTTACATAAGTAGTCTGAGGATAAAGTACACTAAGCTCACATAGTATTACAGAACACTGTAAAAGCTACATTTTCATTAGTATTCCATCTTCATAATAATCTTGTTCGAAAGAGTTTTTCAAGTTAATGCATCAAATATTATATCCTACGTATTGAAAATTATTTATGTTAACACAGTTGGTACATAAAACTCCTAACAAGGTTAATTAAACCAGCTGTAACAAACACACTGCATACGAAGGTGAGTTTCGATTGAGGAAGAGCCTACATGCAACTGAAGATTTTCTGCAGTGATTTGCAGAACAACTTCAGATAGTATATCCAATTGCTGAAGCACTTGATCAAAGCAAAATATTGCATCTGTTACATATTACCTTTTAGAAATCATAATATTCATTATTCTGAACATTATATTATAAAATCAACTAACTTTAATACTGTAATTTAGTTATGATCACATTATTGTCTAGGCAACAGAATGACCATTTTTTTCCAATACAAATTCCCATTTCTAAACGCTATTTTTCTACCATAAAACGCAGTTGTGTACAACAAAATCATTGTATATATCAAAAGAGGCAGAGGTATTCCATAAATATACCTTGATAGGGAGCACTAAATCCACGATATCGATGATTGCTGTCTGTAACAAAATGCAGTCTGAGCCAGTTTTTGTTGCTGATAATTGGTGGTGGTATATTCATTCCAGATAACCTGAATTACAAAAAACAACAACAAAAATTTTAAAAAGCTTTTCAGCAGTAAACGTTTTCACAAAATTGGGACCAAACAAATGTCTACCTATATTCATGACTTTGCACTGTCAACTTTTTAAGCACAAATGAAATAGTTATTTTATACACAGAAAAGTCAATTATAGAATAGTGCAATTCCAAACACATGCTGTTCCAATCAGGTTGCGTATATTAATACAATCAACTGTAAAACCTTAAGTGCACATGATTTTTGATTCAGCCAAATGTATTTACTGCACCAATAATATTTTTTATGGTATTGTTTATTAGTATTATATATTGTTTATCATTTATTAATGTTATATTGTTTATTTATATCTTATTTATTATTTATTAATATATATTGTATTGTTTATTATTGTTAATAATAAACATAACAGATACTGAGCTGATGGTGCTAGTCACTGTGCTTCCCATGTATGTATCGATACAATAAAGTTACAAAATCAAAAGACCTCAAATAAATTGATACACTTATTTCCAGGGTGAGATTGTACAGTTTTTTCTTATACTCCCTCCTATCCACTTAATGTTTTTTTTTTCAGTATTTCTCACTGGATGGCAAATTTCATAATTTATTTTCATAGAACAAGTATTGTTTTTGTGTAATTTCATAATCTTATAAATGTTCATGACTAGCGTTCATTATAATATATAATTCTATAATGTATTAGAGGCCTGCTCCAATGGAGAGGCAGAAAACAGATTGTATATATCCAAATAAATATAGTTGGATATGTAGTCTTCACATATTTGGCTGTAAGAATACCATTTATAATATACTCAAAACAAGTATCTTAAAGCAAAATGTGGGAACTATCCTCCAGATATTGGTCATGATTAATATATAAACTACCTCTTGCTTTATAATTTTTTGAAGATTTCCAGCAAAGCAGGTTTTCTGACATCATGAAATAGAAAAATACTGCTGTATTATATTTCCACCATATATCTAACCATTTAAATTTTAAGTGTTTGTTATAAAGCCAAAGTAAAAGAGTCTCCAAAGCAAGGCTATTACATAGTTAGGAAGAGTTTCAGATTAAGGTTTCTTAATAACAAGTTCTTAATAATAAGGGTTTCAGATTAAGAGTTTCAGATTAAGGTTTCTTAATAGCAAGTATATCTTTCCTATTCTTCAAAGTTCACACTTTTCTTCTTCAGAAGGCAAAATAAATAGCTGATTTATTATACTATGTTTGTGGGGTGGGAATGTCAGGAGGAATTACAAACATTCTCTCACCTCTTGGCAATTAGTCATGCTAGGGGAACAGTAGAAGGAGGATAGAAAATCTGTCCTGTGTATGTAATCAGTGTTAAGGTGTAGGTAGAGGGATGCAAGGAACCTCTAACCAATACTTTTCATCTTTATCCCTGAAAACCCAACTTTCCTAAGATGTGCGGGAGCTAGCCATCACTTTTAGTGGATGACCACTTGCCCATTAAAATATAAAATCACCTTTATTGTATTATTGTGCCTACTGGTGTATAGAATGTTGAATTCCAAAATGAAAACATCCAGATATAGGCCATATATTCTCATTTTTATTCTTGGTTTGCAGTGCATTTTCTGTAATGTTTCCCTATAAATCTTTTTTCTCATTTCATAGGGATGAATCTGTTTATTTGTTGAACTGACTGATTTTTTTTCCAATATGAATTTAGTTAATAAAAATATATAATATAATTGTATAATTTTAGACTCAAGTTTTAAAAGCTGATTTCATTACTTTCAGAAAATATACAAGTTATGTTTACTCTTGTTGATTAAAATAGTAATTCAGTGAAAAACGATTTGGATTTGTTTCAATTATATTTTCAATTGAGTAGCATAGTTCATGCCAGATTTTGATTTACAGTTTGGTTTCGTTCAATTCCCTCTTTCAATGAACATGAACATCCATTGGGGTAAGTTTAAATTATTGTTGACAGGCTGGACACATTTCCAGATATAATGAGACTACAATACATAGAGGTGTGTAATACACAGAAGCAGAATTTGGAGATAGACCCCCTAAAAGACCCAGTAAATGAGAATCAACTACACAAGGACATTAAGAAATGTGAGAAAGGAAAAAAGACAAAATGGACAATAAAAATAATAAACTTTCTGTCTTTTCCAGGGACATGAAAGGTAATTTCAGTAGTAGAGTATGGTAAAGGCAAGTAATAGCTACTGTGTAACTGCAGTTTGCAGCTTGAATTTACTTTCAGTAATCTAAGAGGGTGGACCTGAAGAAAGCAGAGCTGCAGTAGTGAGAAGCAGAATGTGCATGAGGTGGAGCAAATAATGATAATCTAACAAGTGTGAAAGTAAGAAATATTCCTGATGGCCTCAATGCTTCAGCATATGAGGCAGGACCTTAGATAAGCCAAGAAGCTGAACTAGAAAGCACTTGCACCACAGCATCCCTCTGCCACCAGAGAGAAATACATAGTCGTTGGTTATAGGGGAGTCACATGGGCTTTGAAAATCATAGTCACTGAATAATGTTCATTATTTAAACCCATTCTAAACAATATGGCTTGGTTTATGGCTTATGGAGAAATCTCACAAATAAATCTATATATCTCTGTCCTTATTTCACATGTTATCAGGAAAATCAGGAAATGGGGGATTGAGAATATATGCCACTTGGAAAGATTCCATTAAACTACTTAATTTAGATAATTATTTTTTTAAATACTAAAGGAGATATTCTAAAATATAACTTATTGTTATCCCTGTGTCAAATTACTGTGGTTATTTGAGAGTAAGCACATTCTAGCATAAAGTCAATGAGAATAATCCTTTAATAAGAAAGAGATTGTATGTATTTATTCAACAATTATTTACCAAACGTTAACTGTATGACAAATGCCAATGGTAAAGGTTGGAAATATGATAGTAAGCGAGAGAAAAATCATGGTTTTACACAGTAAAAATAAAACACACAAACAAATAAATAAATAATATATATTTCAGGTAGTGGCAAATAACATATAACAACAATAACAAAAAAAAAACCAGTAACATGATAAAGAATTTCTAGAAATAAAGTTTCCTTTGTTTTAATATATTTTCCATTTCACCCTAAAAACATCCATACTCATAATTATATGGCTTAAACCATCAAACTGGATTTTAGGATAATTATATCAAGAAAAATATGGTAATGACAAATGTCATAAATTTGTTCCTCACTACTATAGTTATTTGTACTAGAAAATTAGACATATCTCTTGAGTAATAAATAAATTGTAATGGAATTTTAAAAAATTATTAATGAGATCAAATTTCATTGCATGTTTAATGAGGAAAGAAATACTGACAATAATAGAGTAACTTGACATAATAGTTGTAAAAAAATTTTAGTTCTCCAATTTACTGCAGAAATAATGATTAAATCATAAATTGATATTTCAAATCCTATATAATAGTTTCCATTGTAATTAATCCTTTAGAGAATATAATTATAATCCTTACAACATGATTTTAAGAATTAGTTAAACATAAGAAAATTGAGAGAACCACAGCTTTTTTGATATAGTTCATAAACGTATTTTGAGCTTATTCTTTTGGTTTAAAACTCTCCTGTCAGGTACTCATTTCAGCCATCTCTGGTTTTCAAACTTTCTCAAATTTTGTAGTTTCATCAACAGCTATCATTTTTTATTGCTCTGACATCTGTTTTAAAAAAATCTTTCCAATTCCCTAAAATCATCCAAATGTAATGACCTATCTACATTATGCATAGGTGGAGTCAAATCTTAAACTCAGGATTTTTCACATCATTACCTCCATGACTTCGTATCTCTCTTTTCCACAATTCTTCCACTTTCCTCTTACTTGTCTCTGTCTCCCTCTCTCAAGCGTGCTCTCATGCTTTCTAACCCTCTTGCTTTTAAACCAGTTTTGACCTCCTTCCTTCTCTAGCACTGAGATAAGATGTATCCATCATAAATCTTCATGAATGTTCTTTATGACCTTGTTAGATTATGGCCCTATGCTGAGCCGCTATTAGTTGCTCAAATTTATTCTTTCATCTTATCCCTGGACCTTTGCATATACTTCACTTTGAGGCTGAAATAAATATCCTTTTTAAAATTTATTTACTCTAAATCTTTATCAGGGAAACCAGACAAAGTTCCATGGTTAAGAGAGGTGCCTAATCTCCTTCTCTGTCCTCACAGACCACCTGTGCATGTTCTTATCATATCTTAATTTTTTATGTTTAATAGACACATAATAAATTGCACACACTTATGGGGTACAATGTGATGTTTCAGTACATATATACCTTGTGTAATGATCAAATCAGAGTAATTAGCATATCCACCACCTCAAACATTTATGATTTCTTTGTAGTAAGAAATTCAAAATCCTCTCTTCTAGATATTTTGAGATATACAATATCATTTTGTTGACTATAGTTACCCTACAGTGCAGTAGGACACTGGTACTTATTCTGCCTTTCTAGCTATAAATTTATACCCATTGATCAACCTCTCCTATCAATCCACCACCTTCCTTAGTCTCTGGTAACCACTGTTCTATTTGCTACTTCTATGAGACCAACACTTTTAGATTCTGAATATGGGTGAGAACATTTGACATTTATCTTTCTGTTTCTGACTTATTTATCTTAACATATTTTCCTTGAAGTTTACCCATGTTGTCCCAAATGACAAAATTTCTTTCTTTCTTAAGGCCGAATAGTATTCCACTGAGTATTTTGTGTGTGTGTGTGTGTGTGTGTGTAATCATATTTTCTTAATCCGTTCATACATCATTGGACACTTAGAATCCATTACTTGACTATTGTGAATAGTGAAGCAATAAAAATGGGAGTTCAGATATTTCTTCAACATATTAACTTCACTTCCTTTGGATAGTTACCTGGTAGTAGCATTGCTGGATCATATGGTAGTACTATTTTTTAATTTTTTGAGGAACATACATACTATTTTCAATAATGG